ACAAGGATGCCTGGGCTGTGCGCCACTTCATTGAACAGGGCATTAATGTTTGTCTCTGCCAATCATATGCCAAGAACATGGGCTTATATGGTAAGCTACAGAACCCAGGGTGATATGTGTTCTCATTGAGATTGAAGAAGAGCTGAGAGAAGATGCCACAAATACATAGAGTTTGGTGTGTGTGTGTGTGTGTGTGTGTGTGTGTGTGTGTGTGTGTGTGTGTCCGTCCATGTCCCTCCTTACCCAGGGAGGAAAGACTGGTATAATGAATTTGCCTGATTTTTTTTAGCTATATCTTTTTCAGTGTCCTTAAATTCCTCCATCAAGGAAAATTGATTGCTGCTGCTTTAAACAAAAGTAACTGATCCATGAGCCAAGAAAATAGATACAATAAAGAGACGTTTGAATACTCAAACTTTCTCTTGTGCCTCAATTTACCATTCTGGTTGTTAAAAACTTTTCATTTACAATAAACAATTGTTTTTCTGGTCCTTCTGATGGAAACAGATAATATATAGCAAATTTAATCATGATTTGGTTTAGCATATTGGGTAGAAGAACTAGAAGATGAAATCCATTTTATCTTTTCAGGTGAACGTGTGGGAGCCTTCACTATGATCTGCAAAGACGCGGATGAAGCCAAAAGGGTGGAGTCACAGCTGAAGATCTTGATCCGTCCCATGTATTCCAACCCTCCTCTCAATGGGGCCCGCATTGCCTCTACCATTCTAACCACCCCAGATTTGCGAAAACAATGGTTGCAAGAAGTGAAAGGCATGGCTGACCGCATCATTGGCATGCGAACTCAGCTGGTCTCTAACCTCAAGAAGGAAGGCTCCTCTCACAACTGGCAACACATCAGTGACCAGATTGGCATGTTTTGTTTCACGGGGCTAAAGCCTGAACAGGTGAGTGGATTCCTAATTTCTCTGCAGCTGACCAATTAGCCTGTCTTTGCAAACCAGATAAATTCCTCATAGGTCACCTAACTATTCAGGGCTACCCTAAAAATAGTTCTTTTGGAGCCCTTTTAGGTAAAGGTATTATGTAGCATTCATTTTGTTTGTTTTTTCATTCATTTTGTTTTTTTAAATTAGTTGTTTACCTATCTGTATCCCCCGTGAACTTGCAGACTTCTGAAGAGCAGAGTTGTTGGTTTTTTGGGTGGTTTTTTTTTTTTTTTAAGGGACAGGGTCTCCCTCTGTCACACAGGCTGGAGTACAGTGGCATAATCATAGCTCACTGCAACCTCAAACTGCTGGGTTCAAGCAATCCTCCCACCTTAGCCTCCCAAGTAGCTGGGACTATAGGCACATGCCACCACATCCGACTAATTTTTAATTTTTCTGTAAAGATGGGGTTTCACTATATTGCCCAGGCTGGTCTCAAACTTCTGGCCTCAAGCTATCCTACCACCTCGGTCTCCCAAACTGCCAGGATTGCAGGTGTAAGCCACCATACCCAGCCATAGAATTTGTTACAATTATGTTCATGATCACTGCTGCTTCTCTGAAGAAAGAGAGGAGAAATAACTGTTTCATAACTGAATTCTGGCTCTGCTGAATCTGTTTTTTTTTTTTTTCACCTGTTCCAGCCTCAGAATTCATCGTCCTGTTTCAAAATAGCTTCTTGGTCTTCTGTCACTCTAAGTTAGCACAGCAAATTCTGTGAATAGGGCTTAAGTGAGAAAATAGAACTTCTGTTTTCCTATTTTAACAAATTGGCTATTATGCCATGCCAGGGCTGGGAAATTTCCCTGACTGGGAAGAGGTACCCAAGCTCTTTGCTCTTCGCAGGTGGAGCGGCTGACCAAGGAGTTCTCCATCTACATGACAAAGGATGGCCGCATTTCTGTGGCAGGGGTTACCTCCAGCAATGTGGGCTACCTTGCCCATGCCATTCACCAGGTCACCAAGTAATTTCCCTGGTGCGAAGGAACAGAGACAACCTTTCTGTCTTCAGCTTCTGCTGTTGTGAGCTTCATACGGAGCATGAGGGAGGGTAGATGGTGGTACGTGGATTATCTCTTTCAACCAGAGTGCATAACACTCGGCGATCGAATGTGTTTGTTAGAAAAGAACATGCAGTAACATAGGGCAGAGGCATCCATGGCTGGTGTCTGGAACTTTGTGGCTCTAAACCAAACTCTCCCCCATCCTTTTAACTCCAACTTTTCTAAAAGAGTTTACATATGCAAGAAAGTCATAGCACCAAAAAACCTGTCAATCATGCCATTGTAATATTTCAGAAGCTTTAATTGAAGTATCTTATGATGTCAGGGGTTCCTCGTGAGAAATAGCACATATTAGCAGCTTTAAGAGAAGACCTAGTTCTGTCGTTAACCGTCAGCTTCATGTTTGTCCTGTAATGGAGCAACCTTATCAATAGACCATATTGCAGAAATTGTGTTTTACCAATGAGTCTGCTGCCACTGCAGCAAGGAAGATAAAAGATGCTGTTTCTTATTTGAGAAAAAGAGAAGGTTCGTTCTTCTCCCTTATCATTGCTGTTCTTTTCCTTAGGCACCAAAATTTTTAACTAGCCTAGATTTTCATCCCATTCTACTGCTTGATTGACTGACAACCCCATCCTATCAGATTTATTTAAGAAAGGAGAACATAATTTTTTGCTCATACCATAACCCTCACCTTTCTGGGCAAAGAATAGTGGAGAGTAGGTAACTGCACTTTATCTCGGCATCCTCTTCAATGATTGTGTAATTGTCTCCTATCAGGGTGTTGCCTCTGCCCAGGTGGACCTTCTCCCTTGCTTGAGTGTGGTTGTGCAGTCACTCATCTCACATCATAGTGCAGGGTAGTACCAAGAAAGAGGATATTCGGAGCTTTGTGTGCTACCAGCTGGGCTCAGGCTTTACCCTTTGGAAAGATAACCACCATCTGCTCTAATCATGTAGACTTACTGTAGCCTGGTTTCTCTGTTACAATAAAATTACTGTAGACCCAACACTGTCTAAGTTACCTTTTTTCTTTAATGAGAGGAAAGGGTAAGAGTGGGTATGGTATATATTCTAGAAGTCTGGAACCATGTCCAGCTGACCATAAGCCAATAGATGAATTCACTATTCCAAATGTTGATTGAAGATGCATCTTTTTCTTCATCCTGCCATTCCAGTCCAAAGACATTGAGAATGTGCATGCAATCCCTAGGACCTTGGCAGACAAGTGGAGTCCCACAAAAGATCCTGTGGATATAGGTAAGGGGTGAAAGGGATGGACGGGAGGTGGCAATTTCAGATGTCTACAGGAGCCAAGTAAGTAATGTAAATAAAAATGATATGAACTGAGTGTAAGATGATTATTGGTAGTGATCAACCCTCATCCTCAGTGTTGAGAAGCAGTTGCGAAGTGACGGGAACTGTGAGAATGGAAGCCCAAGGTTGCAGGTCTTAAATTTTTCAAGAGAAACAGAAATCCCAGTTTTTATGGGAAGTCTATTGGAACTTAAAATTTGGCAACTAATTCAGTTTTTAAAAAAGGATTCTCAAGCAAGGTGCAAACAATAGATTGCCAGTCTATGATCTCTAACATAAAGTCATGTGCCCCTGTCAGCCAACATCTAGCAGTGGCACCTGCACAGCATAAGGCTTATTTAGCATATTCTGTCCCCTTCTGCTTAGTGCAAGGAGCCTTTCAAGATGGGACAGCGACTGGCCAAGCAAGCAGTGGAGCAGGAATCAGGCCCAGGGACTGGCCATAGTGTTGTGATGGTGGTTGGGAGGGGAAGGCAGGCTCAACTTGTTCTTTTCCCATTGCTTTCTCCCGTCCTGAGGTACATAGTGCATGGCAGGTCACTCCTGACCCCTCCTGACCCTGTACTCTTCTGTGTTCTTATTGCTAATGGATATACCAAGGTGCTGAAAGGATAAGTGAATAGACTGGTTCACTGGACGTCTTTGGAAAAATATATGAAAAGGGAAAAAGATAAACATACTAGCTGCTCTAGAAAGGGATTCACTGCCTAAGTTAGGAGAAACTGCTTAAAATTCCCTCTTGTCAGAGCAACAGTAGTTGAAAGTTGCCTGCCAAGACCTCACCTCAACTAACTGGAAAAGCAACTTGACCACCCAGCTGACCTTGCTATTTTTAAGCACATGTATCACCAACTCACCCTGGACTAAGTCTCTTTTCTCACATGGTGTATGAACCCTGATATTTTTCTCAGAAGTTCAGACAGTCTGTTTGCCTACAATCTTTTCCTAGTTTCCTAGTCTGGGTCTAAGACATTAAGGCTCTCCAACCTGATTGAGGAGGGTGGTTTGCCTGCTGAGAAAGAATAGTCATGCCTTTGTTTCATTATAATTTAAATTGATTCCTTTGGTTTTTCTATGCAAATATTTACATGGTTGAGATTATACTCTTTACATAATTTTATATCTTGCTTTTTTTTTACTTAACACGTTCGATGCCTTTCCCCCACATAATTAAAAGAACTTCTTCAGTATTTTTAATTATGGCATAATTGTTTGGATATACTGTAATTTATTGAGCTAGGTTCTTCTTGATAGGCCTTTTCCAACCTTTAGCATTATAAATAGTGCTGTAATAAATAATCTTGTACATGGTGTCAGTTTATGCATAAGTAAGTATAGCCGAAGGATTAATTCTTAGAGCTAGAATTGCTGAGCCAATAATATATGTACATTTTGGAGACATTGCCAAATTGACCTCTTCTTAGAGATGCTGATTTACACTCCCGCTAGCCATGAATGAGTTGGTTTGATTGTAATTTCAACACATTATGTTTGATCTTTGCCAATCTGATTGGTGAAAACTGACATCTCAGTGTAATTTTCATGTATATTTATCTTTGTGAGGGGATTCAACATTTTTCATGTTTGAGACAATATTTCCTCTAAATTATTGCTCTCTTTTGCCCATTTTCTGTTGAAATATTGTCTTATCAACTTCAGGAGCTCCCTTCTTACAGATATTATTAATATTAGCCATTTGTAATAGTTGTAATTATTTTGATTCTATTTCTGCCATACCAAAAAAAATTATAAAGCAAATTTAGCCAAAAGAATATTCCTAAATAGACACTTGTTCATTGATATCTAGGCATTTATAATGGTACTTTATCAAACACTGCATCCTTTTTTTCTCTCATAGTGTGCATACTTCTATTATTTGCTTAGATATAATAAAGTCACAGATCCTAATGTACAACCCAAAACCAGTTCACACATTTTGGCCAAATGGCTTCCCTCTCAGAAATAAGTCTGCTGCTTGGAAGGTTTAATTCTGTGAAATCTTCCTAAATTATTGGGGAGGCAGTATCACATAGCAGTGAGCCGTGCAAACTCTGGAGTGAGACATTAATCGTGTAGCCTAGTCTGTAGAGCACTACAACTTACTCCTCCCCGTTGTAGCAATTATCATTAGATTCCTTGCTTACATAGTCTTACTTAATCCTTGTGGTTTCAAGAGATAGCTACTATTTCCATTTTTACAGATAAACAAACTGAGACTTGATTTGCCCATGATCTCATAGTCTTTACACAAATCTAGGGCTGTTATTACACTTAAAATGACAATCCGCTTAAAGAGTGTGCCCTGCTGCTATATCTTTTCTCAAATAAAGCTCCAACCCTTTAGCCTGATATCCAAGACCATTTACAAAGTGGTAACTATCTGAAATGATTCCTCTAGACTCGGGTAGCCTTCTTGCATGTCCTTTCCAACCAGTGAAAGTAGTAGTTTAAGACACACATGATGGTGTAAAAGGACTGCCCTGAATGCTGCGTCTTAAGGTAATGTTTGTCTAAAACAGGACTGGACATCAAACAAGTACATAAAACTGACTTTATTGGACAGCTCAGTGATTGGGTAAGATAAACATCCCCAAAATCTGGAAGGCTCAAACTCCCAGTCTCTGTTTTAGATATTTTATATAGCTAATTCCAAGCTTCAACATGACCTCTTACGGCAGAGAGAAAAAGAATTCATTTCTGTCTGTAAGTAATACATGGCACATCCACCCACATCTCACTGGCCAGAGCAAATCACATGATCAAGCCTGAAAGCAACAAGGCATAGAAATATAACACAATCCTCCCCTGGGGAAGGACAAGTGTTTTAGAACAGTAATGTAATCTACCACAAGCCACTATATAGGAAAACAAGAAGTGAGCATTGCAGACTGGACCAGGGTGCGGAGGATCACTACAAGAAAACCCCTCCTACTACAGAACACAGGCCAGGCCTGAGTTTCCCAGGAGGAACCAACAGTTCCTTTTTGTAACAGCCGTATTTGGCTTACACGGTAGCAGAAGAGGCAGGGCCAAAGAAGAAAATGTGAAGGTGTACCATCTGCACCACCACTGTGCTACAGGAGAGAGGAGAAGCAGGTGCTAAGCAGCCCTGCTCCCAGCACTTGATGAAAACTAAAGAAAAAGGAAGGGCACACCATGTCATTACAGATACCTCCAGCCCCTGCCCTACAAATTCTGCCCTCAAGTACTTAATTCTGTATTATATGAAAAGAATGAACTTTGACCTTTGACCTGCTACTTGACAGCATATGCAAAAGTTAATTCAAGATGGATTACACACCTAAATTTGCAAGGTGATACAATAAAGCCTCTAGAAAAAACATGAGACAGTGTAGTTCTGGCAAAAAAAAAAAAAATGGGCATATAGATCAATGAAATAGAATTAACAGTCTAGAAATAAACCCTCACAATAATAGTCAATTTATTTTCCACAAATCAGCCCAGCTCGATAGCTCACACCTGTAATCCCAGCATTTTGGGAGGCTGAGGTGGGACGATCACTTGAGGCAAAGAGTTCAAGACCAGCCTGGGCAACCCAATGAGACCCCATTTCTACCAAAAAAATTAAAAATTAACTGGGTGTGGTGGCACGCACCTATAGTTCTAGCTATTTGGGAGGTTGAAGAGGGAGGATCGCTTGAGCCCAGGATTTTGAGGCTGCCATGAGATTTGATAGTATAGCCATACAAGGGACTCTTACTCAGCAGTAAAAAGGAATGAAGTACTGATTTATGTTCCAACATGGATAAACCCTGAAAACAGCATGCTAAGTGAAAGAGGCAGTCACAAAGCCCACTTATTGTATTATTCAATTTATATGAAATGTCAAGAATAGGCAAATCTGTAGAAGCACAAAGTAGATTAGTGGTTGGCAGGAACCAGGAGGGATGGGGAGTGATTGCTAATAGTTACGGGATTTTTTGGCGATGGGGAGGGCAGGGAGGTGATCACATTAGTTTCAAATTAGATAGTGGTGATATATTAGATAGTGGTAATAGTTGCACAACTCTGATCTGAAGGTACTAAAATTCACTGTACTGAATACTTTAAAAGGTAGGTTTTATGGTGTATGAATAATATCCAATAAAGCTATCTTATTTTTTTTAAAACCTGCAGGCAACTTATATGTTCTTTAACAAGTGATTGGTTAAGCAAACTGTGGCACATTGATAGCATGGAATACTACTCAGCAATAAAACCTATACAAATTGATATATATAACTTGGATGAGTCTCTGGGGAATTATACTGGTTAAAAAAAAAAGGCCAGGCGCAGTGGCTCACGCCTGTAATCCTAGCACTCTGGGAGGCCGAGGAGGGCGGATTGTTTGAGCTCAGGAGTTTGAGGTTGCTATGAGCTACGCTAACGCCACGGCACTCACTCTAGCCAGGGCAACAGAGTGAGACTCTGTCTCAAAAAAAAAAAAAAAAAAGCCAATCCTAGAAAGTTACAAACTGTATGTGCTATGGACTGAATGTTTATGTCCCTGCCAAACTGATAGGTTGAAACCCTAATCCTCAATGTGATGGTATTTGGAGATAGGAGGTAGTTAGGTCATGAGGTGGAGCCCCCTTGATAGGATTAGCGCCCTTATTAGAAAAGACAGTAGAGAGTTCGCTTCCTCTGCTTTCTACCATGTGAGAACACAGCAAGAAAACAGCCATCTGAAAAC